CGGGGGTCGCACAGTGACCCCCCCGCCCCCCCCGCAGCAAGAACGCCAACAACTCGCAGAGCCCCGTGGTGGGGGTGGCGCTGGCAGTGAGGGCGGCCACCAGAGTGTCCGTGCTGGGGTCAGTGAGTGACACTGGGGACACTGGGGACACTGGGGGACACGGGGGACACTGGGGACACTGGGGACACTGGGGGACACGGGGGACACTGGGGACACTGGGGACACTGGGGGACACGGGGGACACTGGGGACACTGGGGACACTGGGGGACACGGGGGACACTGGGGACACTGGGGACACCCGGGGGACACACAGGGACACCCGGGGGACACACAGGGACACAAAGGGGACACCTAGGGGATGGCCAGGGGACACACAGGGGACCTGAGACCCTCTGAGTGTCCCCCCCCTTGTCCACCGGGGGACGGGGAGGGGACACAGGGGACACCCAGGGGACACCCAGGGGACACCCAGGGTCCTGTCCACCCCCCCGGTGTCCCCTCAGGGTGTCCCGGCCGGACGTTGTCACCGTCCCCGAGGGGGGGTGGGGACCCGACCCCCCCCAGCGGCTGCAGGACCTGGGGCCACCCGTGGAGCACGTCTATGAGGTGGGGACACCGCGGGGTCATTGTCACCAGCCCCGGGTCACTGTCACCAACCGGGTCACTGTCACCAGCCCTGGGTCACTGTCACCACCCTGGGTCACTGTCACCAACCTGGGTCACTGTCACCACCCTGGGTCACTGTCACCAACCCCGGGTCACTGTCACCAACCGGGTCACTGTCACCACCCTGGGTCACTGTCACCAACCAGGTCACTGTCACCACCCTGGGTCATTGTCACCAACCCCGGGTCACTGTCACCAGCCCTGGGTGACTGTCACCAACCCCGGGTCACTGTCACCAACCGGGTCACTGTCACCAGCCCTGGGTCATTGTCACCAATGGGGTCCCCATGTCCCCTCCCCAGTGTCCCCATGTCCCCAGCCCCGGGCAGTGTCCCCGTCCCGACCCCCGGGGCTGTCCCCGCGCTGACCCCGTGTCCCCCGGGGCTGTCCCCGTGTCCCCCCCGTGTCCCCAGGTGGTGAACGAGGGTCCCGGTGCCATCGCCCAGGGGACGCTGGAGCTCAGCTGTCCCCTGGGCCACCGCGGCCACCCCCTGCTCTACGTCACCGGCCACACCGGGATGGACAACTGCACGGCCAGCCACGGCCTGGACCCGCTGCGGCTGGCGGTACTGGGGACACTGGGGACACTGGGGACACCGGGGGCATTGGGGACATTGGGGACACTGGGGACATTTGGGGAATTGGGGGCACTGGGGACATTGGGGACATCGGGGACATTGGGGGCATTGGGGACATTGGGGACATTGGGGACATTGGGGGGATTGGGGACACTGGGGGGATTGAGGGGACATGGGGACACTGGGGACATTGGGACATTGAGGACATTGGGGACATGGGGATGTTGGGGACACTGGGCGGACATGGGGTCACTGGGGACATCGGGTGGCACTGGGAGGTGCTGGGGGTGGCCATGGGTGGCCGGAGTGGGGCTGTCCCTGTGTCCCCAGCACTGTCCCCATGTCCCCATTGCTGTCCCCATGTCCCCATCACTGTCCCCATGTCCCCATCACTGTCCCCATGTCCCCAATGCTGTCCCCATGTCCCCATCACTGTCCCCATGTCCCCATCACTGTCCCCATGTCCCCAGCACTGTCCCCATGCCCCCATCACTGTCCCCGTGTCCCCATCGCTGTCCCCATGCCCCCAT